GGCTAGCTGCAGAGAATAAATCACCATAGTAACTTGGCCGGGATAAGTCTCTCTTGTGTGCCTATTGTACTGAGCTAGATAGCAACTGGGCTTCCATGGTTAATGTTGGCTACAAGGGAGGCAGTACAAGAGAGTACAGGCTTTAACCCGAATGAGCTGGTCTTTGGACATACAGTACTGGTCCCTTGGCAGTACTGAAAGATAATTGTGTAGATACAGACGAAGGCAAACATAATAAGTAACTATCTGCCTGTATTTCTCAGCATTGATGACACCATTTATCCGGATTTTCCCATTTTCAAATGCAGCCCCAAACTTGCAAGGAACTGTTACCTGCAGACACTCATTATTGAGTTAGTTTTTATTGTACAAACTACAATGTAGTAAAAACAGAACTTCAAGATAAAAAAGATATGCCAACAACTTTAACATTGCTTCCGCTTCAAAATAATATATTTAAATAGTTGTATAAACTGGAAATACTCAAAGTACTGAAGTATTCAAGGAGATATTTGTATATATAAATGGCTCATTCTCATTCTAAATTAATGTTAAAGTAATCTGGAATATTAAAGAGAGTTAGCTGTGGGTTATTAATTGTTGTGTTATGAAGTTATAACTGTTACAGTTGAGTGGTCTTCACAGTAAAAACAATCTGTGATTGTCAGAATCATTGATTGTATATGTACTACAGTATACGACAGTGGTCAAAACCAGCAGAGAGCAGTGGAGACACTGCTGTGTGTCTGCAGAGAGTCTGAGGTCTGAGAGTCTGCGTTCTGTTTGTTCAACAGCTGTTAGATAAACTGTCTGCCTTTTGTTGTACTCCTGAATAATGAGCATTGTTGTTGTAAAATAGATCATGAAGTCTGTCTGTTACCTCCACTGCTTTATCTGAAGACGCTGAACGGGTCTGTGGTGGTTTTCAAAACGCAAACTTTCAATCTTACTTTTCTCAAAAAAAGGCAGCAAAGATAACAAAAAAGGTTCCATAATTTACAGCAAACTTCAAAGAAATCGAAAAAACAACTTAAGGTTAAAGGGAATACACTTGTAATATTACGCAGCACACACACACACGCACACACTCGGCCACACTAGCACACACACGCGCACACACATTGACACAGCCTTTACTATAAATAACGATTCCACAGAAAAAGGCCTTCACAGAGCATCTGCAAAGTGCTAACTGCTTTTAGATTTCTAAACCAAATAAAAATACAATACACAGCAGTGGCAACAGCACACAATAACAGCACAATCATATTTGTACCTTTCTAGAATTTTCCTTGTTTTTCTGACAGAGAAGTCTTTAATGAGGCAGAATATTACTTTCGATGGACATCAGAGACAGGGGATTCAGTCTGTTCTGGCCCATTGTGGGTCTCTGGATGAGTCTGGAAAAAGAACACTCCCCGCTGGCGTTCGTTTCAGGAAGTCATAAATAGTCGGAGGGCAAAATCAACATTTGGAAACACTAACTGTAGTTTCCTTCCTCTTATAAATTGCAAGAGTGACCTTGCTGAGGTGTCCTTGTTTTTTTCAATGAATTCTCTGAATTCTTTCGTTTCGTCCACAAAATCTTCCTACAGATCAGCTGTATATTTCTTCTGCAGAGTAGCCGCTCCTGAATGAAGATCTTGTATGGAGATGGTTGGACTGTTGTTCAGAAATCCAAATGTCTGCTGAATGTCTTTGTAGGACAGAAACCCCTGATCCAGTTCTGCGACGAGTCGGTCTATGACGGTGATAAAAACTGTTGCTTTGAACTTGTCTCGGCCTGGTCGTTCAGTCAGGTTCAGCACTTTCATCTGCTTGTTTTTTTCTTTTTCTGTGCCTGTGTCCACTTTGTAGTGCTGAGACACAGTTGGAGACATGTTTTTGGCATCACTCTCAAACTCATCCATCAACTCAACATCATCCTGTAGACTGGCCAAATAATCCCTCAATGAGCTGATCAAAGTAACAGCGTTACATAAATCCAGTTCAACTGCCCGTAGAGCAGTGCTGGTCTTACTATGCTGTATGTTGTTCCACATATCACAAGCAATCTCTAGTTTTTCCATCTTCATGTAAAGGGGGCTGGCTTCACTTCGAGTGGTTAGATTTTGGTTGATATAATCTCTTAACTTTTGTAGTGACTCTTGAATCAGCTCTAAATTACTCGCCAAGTGGCAAGGGCCCTTTGTGGTCACACGGCGAGTGGGTGATGTCGATTATGAGGTTGGACGTTCTGACAGGGGAGGAGGAACACAGATTTACCACCTCAATCTCCTCAAAGCATGGAGAGAGGTGGAGCCTGTTTCTCTGGTAACCACGGTGAAAGAGAGAGATGAGTTGGGGCCTGAGGCACCAAATTCCACCCATCCTGCCTCACTCCATTGTGATGACCATCTCACGCCCTCCCACAGAGCAGACATTGCCGCGTTGCAACAGCGTTTTGCTGATGTGTCCCTGCCAGGACGCACAAATTCATACAGCATCATGTTGAGACTCACCCGGGCGTGACAGTGCGTTCACGGCCCTATCAGTTACCTGAACACAAAAGAAAAGTGGTTCAGAAGGAATTGAAGGCCATGCTGGAGATGGGGGTAATAGAAGAGTCCAACAGTGCCTGGTGTTGCCCCATTGTTCTGGTACTTGAAGGAGGATGAAGAAGGATGGGTCTATTAGGTTCTGTGTGGACTATCGCAAGGTGAATGATGTGTCATGGTTTGACGCTTATCTGATGCCTCGGGTCGACGAGCTCCTGGATCGGTTAGGCACTGCTCGCTTTTTCACGACACTGGATTTAACCAAGGGCTATTGGCAGATTCCCTTGTCTCCAGAGTCTGAGGAAAAAACGGCCTTCTCCACTCCGTACGGTTTGTACCAATTTGTCACACTACCCTTTGGGTTGTTTGGCGCCCCAGCAGGTTTCCAGCGTCTCATGGACCAGGTCCTGCGTCCGCACTCTGCATATGCTGTCGCCTACTTGGATGATGTTATCATCCATAGTAACAGCTGGCGGGAGCATGTGCAGAGTGTGGCGGCGGTGCTCGAGTCACAGAGGCAGGCGGTGCTCACGGCTAACCCGAAGAAGTGTGATGCTTCGTACAGGGGCCTGGGGGCCGTTCTGTCCCAGCAGGTGCAGGGTGTCGACTGCCCTGTGTTATACATCAGCCGGAAGCTGTCGGAGAGGGAGTCTCGCTATAGCACAATCGAGAAAGAGTGCTTGGCTATCCGGTGGGCGGTCGAGGCTCTTCGTTACTACCTGCTGGGGCGCTCATTCACCCTCTGTTCGGACCATGCCCCCCTCCTGTGGCTCCACCGCATGAAAGATGCGCCCGGATCACTCGGTGGTATCTGGCCTTACAGCCATTTAAATTCAGAGTGGTCCATAGGCCGGGGCGCAGATGGCCGTGGCCGACTTTCTCTCCCGCTCCTTTGGGGAGTTAGGCCGGATGGCTCCCTGGGCGGTGGGGGTATGTGGAGGTGGGCGTGGTTTGCGCTCAGCTGCAGGTGAGTGGATTACCTCACCTGCTGATGATTACCTAATGACTCTACCCTTATCTTTTATCTTTGCAGTAGTGTGCTGGACCTGGGAGAGATGCTGCCTATGGTGCCAGTTGTTGTGTGATGTATCAGCAACGCTCTAAATAAAAGTGGTGTGTTCAACTTCGTAGTGTGATTGCTTGTGTGCTGAGGGAACCCCGAGTGTAGCACGACTTGCTACACATGCATTAATGGGACATGAATGAGTGCAGAAAGAGAGAGGAAGAGAGGAGCTCAGTGCACCATGGGAAATCCCCCGATAGTCTAGGCCTATAGCAGCATAACTAAGGGATGGTTCAGGACTCACCTGATCCAGCCCTAACTATAAGCTTTATCAAAGAGGAATGTCTTAAGCCTACTCTTGAATGTGGTGAGGGTGTCTGCCTCCCGAACCACAACTGGAAGCTGGTTCCACAGGAGAGGAGCTTGGTAACTGAAGGCTCTGGCTCCTGTTCTACTTTTAGAGACTATAGGAACCACAAGTAGCCCAGCATTCAGAGAACGTAATGTTCTAGTGTCTAGAACAATGAAGAACTAATCTTGCTGCTTTGTTCTGTGTTCTCTGCTCCCTCAGCAAAGTGACACTGTCTAATTGCATTATTTTCCTTAAAATACATACAGATTCATTTTTACATGTATTTAACTCAATGTACATACATTAACCAACAGCACAGTTACAATTTACCAGAAAACATTTAATTATAATACCAAATCTCTCTCACCACCATGAAAAACTATATACAATGGGTTAAACAGCGACACCTTCTTGGTACTCAGCAACCCAGCAATGGTGATATTGGTGAGGTGAGGGGCCTGCAAGGAGCCCAAAGGACACTGAATGACAGCACCTACCCAGCCACAGCCTGTTAACCCTGCTGCATTCTGGGAAGCGGTACAGAAGCTCCCACTGCCGTACCACCAGACTACAGAGCAGCTTCTTCCCTCAGGCAGTGAGGCTGTTACATTCTTCCTCAACAATAAATCATACAAATGATTCATTTATGTATTTTTTGTCATTAGTCATTTATCCTCATGTCCTCAATGTCATTGTCATTAATCATTCTCTTCAAAGTAGCATAAAGGAAACTATATCTAAATCTAATTCTACAGCTTTTGTGTTAAAATAAAAATAAAAGATAAAGTAAACTTGAATCCTTGCTTGTCGCCTTTGTAACTGTTACCATGGTTACAGGACCTGAGCTTTGAATCTGCTTTTTGTGTGGAGTTGACATGTTATCCTCGTGTCTGTGAGGGTTCCACTCGACCGGAGTCCAAACACATGCTGCTTTTCAGAGACCAAAAGGTGTGACTGCGTCTGTCCCTCAGTCTGTGTCCGCCCTCTGATGTGACCGGTCCAGGTGAACCCCAATGTGAGCTGCTGTTACTGACATTCTCATCTGTCACTTTGTTCATTCTGGGGTTGGATATTAGTTACAAAAAGCCTGTTTCCTGCTAACAGCAGAGAGAAAACCACAGCACTGATACATAAAGAGGAAGGAGGTGGGCTTTACTCAGTGTGACTGCTAAACTCTAATGTGCTGATCTCAGATGGCCAAGATCTAAAATGGAGGAATCCTCTTTACAGTGGCTGCTGGGTGAGTAAATATCTACTCAATGTATGTTTGCTTCCATATTTTCCAAAAGATTACTTTGAAAACATTTCTGGTGTTGTTGAGAGCGCAGTGAGTTATAGAGTGAATATCATAAATCTAAAGACTGAATGCAGCCAAACAGCATCAACAGATCTTACACATATGAGCTGAGACGATTTATCTCTAAGGAACAGTTAAGAGTTCAGTTCCTTGCTCAAGGGCATCTCAGCAGTGCCTAGGAGGTAAACTGGCCCCTCTCCAGCTACCAGTCAACAGTTTTGTGGTCTGTCCTGGAATTGAACTGGCCACCCTCTGGTTCCATGCCAAGTCCCTACACACTGAGCTACTGCTGCCGCCATTACACTAAAGAATGTAAATATACAAATCAGCAGCGAGAAAGTAACGCGTAAACTGCTGTCAGTCTGTTTAACATCTTTATTTCTCTTGGTTAAATTGTAGAAAGCAACCAAACCAGAACTCAGATACAACAATCTCAAACAAATGAACTGGAGAACATACACACTCAGTTTATTCAATCTGATTTATCACAAAGGCTGTACCTTTGTTATAAATATATAAATTATTATTATTATTATTATTATTATTATTATTATTTTATTATTATTATTATTATTATTATTATTATTATTATTATTATTATACATTTTTAGGTCTTTGTGGCGATTGTATGGGGCACCGCTTCCCTGAGAAGACGACCAAAGAGACAAGATTTTCTCACTTTTCTGTACTCAAACAGCTCCTCTGCTTACTTAGAACTGCCATGTTTGGGAAAAAACATTGGCAAAGATTTTGAAAAACACTGAATACAATTTTGTATTTTTTTGTATTTCATTTTATATTTCCCATGTATTTCATAATTATCAAATTATCATCTTTGCTCTACAATCAGGGTTTTCTATTGTATAGAAAGTATCTATGTTGCATGAGAAACCTTAAAGCAACCTGAGTCTCTTTCTCTTTAGTTCTGACCTCACTGCTGAGCTGCCCAACAAACCAAGGTTAGTGAACTTCTTCTGTAACAGCTGGAAGGTTATTTGTTCTCTAACAGTTAGTGTTTGCAAATGATAATAAATCACTGAATGCAGTTTTGGCCACAGTGTGCACAGACTGGACAGCTGAAGCTAACACTGCTCATGATGCACCGACTGCCAGAGCAGGAATAACATTATCTTATATGTGCTTTTAGAACTGCTTCTATTGAAAGTCAGTAAGAAGATAGTTGCCACAATGTCAGCAGGATTAACTGTTACAGAAGATCAATAAACTGATCACATTTATAAATCAGACACATGTAGACAGATCCTCTGCTGTGTTTAATGCCAACATGAAGAATTCATCAGATCATATCTGAGTTTGAGTCAAAAATCTTCTCTGAAACTCAGACATCAGTTCAGCAGTGAGACATTCTCTCTCTCTCTAACTGCATCTTTCTGTCTCTCCCTCCAGCCTCTCTGACTGTGAGTCCCAGCAGCTCTCAGATGTTTGAAGGACAGTCTGTCTCTCTGAGCTGTGAGGAGGACGACAGCTCTGCTGGATGGACACTGAGGAGGAACACAACCAGAGACACCAGGACTCAGTGTGGAGTAACGTGGGGAAGATCAGCTGGTTCTTCTTGTACCATCAGCTTCACCGCCACATGGGACAGTGGAGTTTACTGGTGTGAGTCCAGAGAGGGAGCAACCAGTAACACCATCAACATCAGTGTCACTGGTAAGATCAGACTGCTGTAACTCCCTGCAGTAATAGTAATGGATTACCAGGTCAATAACTAACACAGGGGTTCTACAAGGTGTGAACAGTGAGTCATTCACCTTTTCACTTTGACTGAAATCAAAGTTAAATGTTACCTGAAGAAGAATGAAGGCAAGAAGACAGACAGGTGTACTTCAGGAAGCTCATCCACACTGGGTGGATCCCAGCCTTTCTCCTGAAGATAGTCCTGTTCTATCATTGAGTAAACTGACTCAGAGACATATTTTATGGATAATTCATATTATATTCAATAATATCAATAACAGCAGAGAACAGCTGATAAACTGATCAATGAACACAAACAGTGAACTCTAACTGCAGGACGTTTGTAGAAAACCAGAGATTTGGATGAAGATTGATCAGAGTTTTCCCAAATATTCATAAGAATGTTTTCATGTGTTTTTATTTCTTGTATTTACTGAGTCAAGGACAGGACAGTGTGTCTGTGTCTGCGGCTCAGAAAAGGAGGAAAACTAAAACTGAACTGATCTAATTGAGTTTGATGGCAGGAGAGCAGTACACTGCACTGCAGCTCCCTCCTTCATCCCAACCTCCTCCTCAGGGCTACAGGTTGGGTTTAACTCATAATGTTCAGGAGATGTAGTGTATGGTTATTAGTTGTGTAAAGTTATAACAGGATCCCCCTCAGACGACAGCAGTGAGTCAGTTAAAGGCAGAGTGGGTCGGGGAGGGGAAGCTCACTGAGGTGGGTGAATGGCTAGAAAGAGAAATAGTTTGGTACAAGAACAAACATAAACAAACAAACATTAATGACAGTGTGTTTGTAAAATACATTGGACCAGAGAAAGTCATAAATGATGTATTCATTATCATCTAATGATATTTCCACTAGTTTGTCAAATGTACTTTATATCTATTGGTACACTTCTTTGAGAGAGACTTTTGTTTATTCAGCATCTCATGTAAATGTTTTTGTCTTTATTCTGTCTCTGTGTTGAGGTGGACCAGTGATCCTGCAGAGTCCTGTCCTCCCTGTGATGGAGGGAGATGATGTCTCTCTGCACTGTAAAACAAAGACCCCTCCCTCCAACCTCACAGCTGCTTTCTATAAAGATGGCTCCCTCATCAGGACTGAGCCTACAGGTCACATGACCATCCACCATGTTTCCAGGTCTGATGAAGGCCTCTACAAGTGTCACATTGGCAGTCATGGAGAGTCTCCACCCAGCTGGATCACTGTCACAGGTGAGGAGGTTACAGATAACTCTACTGCAGCACTAACAAGGACAGCAGTGATTGTTCACAATGTGACAACCTTTCTAACGTTACAGCCAGCAGAGAAAGTCAGTGTTCAACAGCTACATAACCGTTTGATATGTAATCTACATAAACCAAGCTGGGTCAAATGTTTCAGTAGAAAAAGAGGATCAGAACTAACAGGAGCAACTTCACTTTCTTTATTTAATTTTAATACTTTCTGAACAGTCAAACCACTCAATGTGTTTTAGATTTATTTTATTTTCTGTGCTTTAATTATGATTTCCTATTCATTTTAGAGAAACCCACCACTGCATCTCCTCCTACACCCCCCTATACTTCTGCTTCCCCCTCTATTCCTCCCTCTCTTCCCACTCTCTTCCTCCCATTATTATTCTGTGGTGTGGTTCTAATGGTTCTAATGGTTCTACTGGTGAGACAATGCATCCTGAGGAAACAAAAAGGTTAGACACAAAAAGACAACCATGTCCTACAGTTCACATTTAAAATGACATTTTACTGTTGGTATTTCAGAACTGAGTCTACAGATAATCAAAGTTAAAACTGTTTCCTTCAGTCAGTCGTCCATTAGGATTCTCATTAATTATGTTCCTGTTCTCTCCTCAGTGTAAAAGATAAAAGTTGAGATAAAAATGTTCTTTTTGGTTTGTTTCAGCTGCTGAAGCAGGGGGACATGATGACATCACAGATGACATCACATACAGGGATGTCATTATATTGCATCACCCACAACAGCCAATAAGATGCAGACGAGGTAATGATGTTTTATTGATTTTAGTTTTAGGGACATTTTGGAAAATGAAGTTAGAAAGCATGTTCATCAACATAAATACAATGTAAAATCAATGGTTTTCACTTCCTAAAGACTGTAGTGAGGTATATTTTAGTTCTGTTTTAGTTGATGATAGTGTGTGTTGTGTGTGTTGTGTTGTGTGTGTGACTCTGTCTGTTTGGACCCTGCGGTGAATCTGTTAGCAGAAGTTCTGTGGTCGTCCAGTTTCCTGTTTCTGATGAAAACAACTCAGCTGAACGTTGATCTGCTCATGTTTCACTGCAGGACTCTTAATAAATAATAATAAATAAATAAATTAAAAAAATTATATAGATTGAATATAAATGTGGAGACCTACAAACCCAAATCCCTCAAAAATTGTGAAATGAATGAAGGAAGATTTAACTGATTTCCAAATCCTTTCCACCTATATTCAATTGAATACAGCTCAAAGACAGGATGTTTAATGTACAAACTGATAAACTTAATTTATTATACTATTCTGAATTTGCAACATGTTCCAAAAAGGTTGGAACAGGGGCAACAAAAGACTGTAGAAGTTGTTGAATGCTCAAAAGACACCTGTTTAGAACTTTGTACAGGTAAACAGGTATTGGTAACAGGTGATGATCTGGTATAAAAGAGGCATCTTTGAAAGGTTTAGTCATTCAAAGCAAAGATGGGTGACCGGTGACCTTCAACCCCTCTGGCAACACTGCACTAAAAGCAGATGATTGTATAAAGGATTTAACTGAGTGGGAACGCTGTGTCTCTATTTGTTCTTTCTGCTTTATTTTACTGTTCCATGTTTGCTTTCAGCTGTATAGGAGTCAAGTTAAGTCACTGCGGAAGAAAATCCAATGCTTCCTGATTTTGCTGCTTCACTATAAAAGTGTTTAAATAACAAAATAACCAGAGACATTTATTGTGAAGAATTTATAGGAAGTTAAATGTGTTTGTAAAGAGCCAAACCAGCAGGTGTATGGAAATACGCTGAGAGCTGAGACATGTTTGTACAGTTAGGACACTATCAGAAAGTGAGGACATGTTTTAATGCAGAGGACTGTGGAAATAAAGACGTTTGTTTGAGGGATATTTTTAGAAACTGGTGAAATCGTGGAGCATGAGGACACTTTGAATTATGAGGACATTTTTTTCACACAGCTCGTTGGTATGTAACTGCTAACTACTCACGCAGCCTACTAGTAACAATGTTTAAGTCACTTATATGTTTGAGCACTGAACATTTACCTCACTGTGTCGGTGTTAGTTGGCCGAGAGTAACTTGTAGCTCGCAAGGTGAGGTTGCTCGGCGACCCGGATGCTGTGTAGCATTAGGCTATCATTATTTGCCATTTGCGTTGTGCTGATTGTTTGGAGCACTCTGCTGGTTTCTGGTGGCGGTGGTGATGGCGGTGGTTTGGATCGGTGATCCATGGTGGAGTGCCACGTTATGTTGAGTTTGTGCGTGTGTGAACCCTTTGGATGAGGCACGTGGTGGCATGGGTTCTGTGTCCTGTGACAGCGTCCATAGCAATCAGTGATGGCGGAGAATCATTGTGCGCATGCTCCTCTGGCGCTAGGCATTCTGGGTGATGTAGTCAATGTTGTTTTGAGCCAGATTTGCCACATTTTGATGGTGTTGCAGGCTTCTTTGATTTCATTATTTACATTATTGTTATATTATATTATTTAAATAATATATTTACATGGTATATTTGAATAATATATTGTCATTATTTGTTTGTTGTATTTGAGGTTTATGACCTGTGGTCATTTGATTTAAAATAAAAGACAAACACAAGTCATAACATTGTGTGCTTCCTGGTAAGCCTTTTCGAGGGCTAAATAATGGAAAAATCCAAACAGTCATAAACCACGGTCCTCCTTTTACAAAGAAAAGCAAGGATAATGCAAAGTTCGTCAGGAGACTAACTTCTGATAAGCTAAAAGTCCACCCATAAAGCTGTCTGCTAATCTGCTGACTCACTAGGCGAATAATAAATAAGTGAAAGCCAAGAAGAGGATAGAGTCTACAGTTAAAGGACTACTTAAACCCAGTTGGCGGAAAACACTTGAACTTTCAAATTAACGCTACAAAAGTTGGCAAGATGGCAGCAACAGAGGAGGAGCTAGAGAGGCTAAAGCAGAAGCGGTCAGCAGCCCAGACTGCGTTCACTAAAAGAGCCAATCACCTCGCCTCCAGAGTTAATGCACTGGGGGAAGGTGAAATGAGAAGTGAGTGGAGGAACTTTAAAGTGGATCACTCCAGAGTCAGAGATGCGGGGTTTGAGTTTGCCACGGCCCTGAGAGAAGTGGACAACGATGAAGTCAAAAAGAAGGCGGAAAACATTGACGAAAAAACAGCGGAATGTGACCCTAAGTTTGATGAAATCGAACAAATCATCCTGATCAGCTTCTGGACAAGGTTCGCTGAGGAGGAACTTACCACCCACGCTAAAGAGGCTGAATCAGCCATGGACCAGACCGAGGCAACCGACCACCAGCATATGACCAGGAGGGAACGTGAACTGATTCATAGGAACCTGGAACGGGAGGTCTACAACCTCGAACGAGGATTGGATGAGTGGAAAGACTTGATCCCTCAGTCCAAAGCAACAGAGTCAAAAAAACAAATTCGGAAGTTGAAGAAACGGCGTGAAAAACTGTGGGATGAGTGGGCATGGCAAGGCGGTTCTCAATCCGACGACGAAGAGAAGCTGGGAAAAGAGAGGATTGTGGAGAAGGAGGAGCCAGCTGGGGCTTACAACTACAGGCCCCAGATCAGCCTAGAACGTGCACGCCTGCCCATGTTTTCTGGTAATATGAGGGATTACTACCGCTGGAAAGCTGAATGGGAGGACTTGCAACGTCTGGGAAACCCTCATCGATTGGAAAATGTGAAGAAATTCCATCTCTTGGGCAGCCTAGATGAAAAAGTCAAGAGGGATCTCATATTGTCCAGCTGTGGATCCGCCAACGACGTGTTCAGGCTCCTGGACAACAAGTACGGAAATAAGCCGAAAATATTGCTGCTGATTGCGCAAGAAGAGGACTTTCCCCATCAAGGGAAACCCTCCGAGGAAGACAATCGAACTGATTCAAGCCGTGGAGAGAGCTCTTCGTGACCTACAAGTCCTAGGGGAGGAAGATGCTGTAAAGAACCGAGTGGTCGTGCAGTCGATTGAAAGTAAGCTTCCTGACTCCCTGAAAGAAAAGTGGTTAACACACAAAAATGACCCTGGGAGCGGGTTTGCACCATGCAACCACTTCGATTGTCTACTGCAGTACTTGAAAAAGCAGGAGGACATTCTCGAGGAGCTGGACCAGCTACAGCCTAGGCGGACAATACTGAGAGGTCAAGCGAAAAGAAGAAGGAAAGGAGGGCATTCACCAGAGCCACGTCAGGAAACACCCAAAAGGGCTCTCAACCAAGCTCATGCATCACGTGTGGAGACAACGAGTATGGAGGTAGGCTGTTCGCCTGCAGAGTCTTCAAGAAGCTCAATCTGACAGGCAAGAAGGCTCAGCTTAGGAGAGCAGGAGCATGCTTTAAGTGCTTGCGCCTTCATGGTGACGACAGCGGCTGCACACAAAAGTATCTATGCTCAAAGGACGACTGTCAGAAAGAGGGCTTTTCGGACCACAATTACTTGCTCTGTCCAAAGCGACAGATCAAGAAGAAAGAGGAAAAGAGCGGAGAGCAGAGCGATGCAGAATTGGGGAAAAGGGGGCTTGGGCTAACCAACAAACAGGAGGAGCTCCTTGCCAAACTTTCTCCAGAGCTGCGAGCAGAGTTCAAGGAAGCCTTTTCAAACAAGATCACTACAAAAGTGTGTGCTAGCACTGGTTGTGAGCCAAAAGAGCGCCCTGTCACAATGATGCTGTTGGATGTGACGACAAATTCTGGCCAGCTAGTCAGTACATTGATTGATCTCGCTTCAGATACTAATTATATCTCTAATAAAGCCGCAGAGCGTCTCAAGCAAAATGGTGAGAACATTAACTTGATTGTCCAAGGTGTTGGAGGGATGAAGAAAACCATTACTACCAAGAAGTATACCCTGAGGCTGAGAGTAAAAACTCCCAAAGGTACAATAGCGGAGCACAAACTCCTTTGTTACGGCTTGGAAGATGTTGCAAAGGTGAACCAAGCTGTCACGCCACAGCAACTGCAGAAGTTCTTCCCACATGTTCCACTCAAGGACTTGGTCCGGCCCGAAAAGATCGACCTGTTGATTAGCCACAGGGAGGGTTGCCTGGTCCCACAACCAGTCAAAGTAGTGGGAGACCTCATCCTCTGGGATGGCCCCCTTGGGAAGACTGTTGGTGGAACGCATCCTGACCTCTTTGAAGTGATAGACCTAGCAGTGCACAGGTCTGAAACACATTTCGCGAGGTCTATGAGAACAGCTTCAAGGGCGTACAAAGAGATTCTCGTGGAGCCGGAAGGACCAAGCGAAGTCTCGGTGGAAGGAGAAGACGCAATCCTCCGAAACACTGCAACTACCAACAAAGAAGCCTTTGAGTGGTTTAAGTGGGACAGTATTGGCGCCGCCTCTGATCCTCAATGTGGTGGCTGCAGATGTGGTAGGTGCCCCCCTGGAGGCAAGGAAATGACCCTAGGAGAGGAGAGAGACTTAGAGAAGATAAAGGAATGTCTCACCTACGTGCAAGCTGACAAGCACAGCGAATCCCCTCACTGGGACGCAGCTTACCCGTGGAAAGGAGACCCCGCAGCGCTGCCTGACAATCGACGTGCAGTGGAAGCAACCTTTTTAAACACTGAGAAATGACTGGAGAGGGAGCCGGAATGGAAGGCTGCGTACACAGAGCAAATCCACGACATGGTCTCAAGAGGGGCTGCCATTAAACTCACCCAAGAGGAAATCGACAGTTGGAAGGGACCTAAGTGGTATATCAGTCATTTAGTTGCTCCTAATCCTCACTCAACCACTACCCCTGTAAGAATTGTCTGGAACAGTAGCCAAGAATTCATGGGAATAAGTTTAAATGACCTACTGCACAAGGGTCCAGACGTTCTGAATCAGATAAGGGGCGTGCTTCTGAGATTCAGGACTGGGTTGTACGCCGCTCTGGGCAATGTGAAAAAAATTTACAACTCTGTCTGGCTAGAAGACAAGGAAGTACATCTCCATCGATTCCTCTGGAGAGACAACCCTGAGGAGGTAATCGAAGTCTTTGCTGTCGTCAGGGTCAACATCGGCGATAAACCTGCTGGTTGTATCGCCCAGGTGGCTATGAGAGAAACAGCCAACCTGCCTCAGTTTGCAGCCATGATCGAAGAGCGCCGAGTTTTGGTAGAAGATAGTTATGTGGATGACATCTTGACGTCCCACAATGACTTGCGGATACTGGAGAAAATCACCAAAGGAGTGGAAAAGATCTTAAAGGCTGGAGGCTTCTCCCTTAAGCCGTGGGTCTTATCAGGCCAAAGTGGGAGGTCCGCAGCCACAGCTGATGCCAGTATCAGTAAGACAACTGTGAGTGTGCCCAAAACCCCCAACCAGATGCGGGACGAAGAAAGCAAAGCACTTGGAGTCGGCTATAAACCGGAGACTGACAAACTTCGTGTGATGCCGTCCGTAAATTTCTCAAAGAGAGGAAAGATGAGGACAGGAGTCGATTTGCGCGAAGAGGAAGTCAGAGGTAAAACTCCAAGCCCATTGACCCGTCGGATGCTACTAAGCCAGATCACCGGACTCTATGACCCCATTGGTCTTGCCACACCCGCAAAGCAGACAGGGGTGATGCTTGTGAGAGAAGCTTACCAAGAAGCAAGTATAAGCAATCCAGTTAAAGACACTTGGGATGACCCCACTCTCACCAAAACTATGGGAGGCTTCCATAAGACTCCTCGAAGAGTATGTGAGACTTGCCCAGATCAGGTTCGAAAGAAGCCTCACACCAACTGGAGCCATAGGCCATCCAATGGGAGTCATGTTTTCAGATGGGAGTGAGGCTTCCTACGGCGCAGTGCTTCATCTCCAGTGAGAGACGCAGGATGGGGTCGTAGTGAGGCTGGTCGAGTCAAAAGCAAAGCTTACCCCTCTCAACCAGAAAGGCGATGTGATTCAAGCAGAGGTATGTGGTGCTGTCTTTGCGATCCGTCTGAGAAAGTACTTTGTAAAGCGTTCTCAGCTGTAGTCACCAGGTCTCAGGCAGGAAAATTCTTAGGCCCCAGCAATACATATGTTGGGGCAAACTTGGAAGACTCCGCACTGCAACCGCAGAGGAAAGACCAAGGTCCAACTCCAGCAGGAGAGAGGCCGAAGAGGAAGCCCTGGGGTGTAGCTCTAGTGCGCCTTGTCAGGCCCGAACGATTCAGTAGCTTGTCTAAACTGTGTGGAACAATCGCCTGGGTTCGAAGAGCTGCAGAATCCTGGCTGAGGAAAAGCTACCAAGCCTCAAGTTCAGCAAAGTGGGAGGTGAGGGGCCCCAGTCTGTCTGTGGAAGATAGAACGGCGGCTTTCCAAGACCTAGACCTTGCGGCCCAAGACGGCGTGAACTTTCAGGATATGACCTTAAACCGCCTTGTGGTGATTAAAGATGACAACAATGGACTCTTACTTTGTGGTGGTAGAGTCCAGTCTTGGAATGAAGACGGAACAGCTGTACCTTTAATCCCATTCCAGTCATGGCTGGGGGCCTTGCTTGCTAGGGAAGCTCAGGAAGCGAATCATGAAGGGGTTGCTGCCACACTGCTGCACACTAGAAGAAAGGCCTTGGTTGTGCAAGGTGAAGAAGGTGGTCAACAAGTGCATCACTTGCAAGAAGCAAAGAGCCCGGCTGTGCCAGCAGTGATGAGCGCTCTACCTCAGGAACGTACCAGTAGAGCGAACCCATTCGAGTATACTACACTGGACCTCTTCGGACCCTTTGAAGTGAGGGACGCTGTTAAGAAAAGATCCAAGAAAAAGGTCTGGGGAGTCGTGTTTTGCTGCATGGCGTCCAGAGCCGTCCATGCTGATCTCGTCGATGACCAGTCTTCTGAGAGCTTTCTTTAGGCCTACTCCCGGTTCACTGCTCTGAGGGGGCATCCCAAAAAGTTATGGTCGGACAGAGGCTCAAACTTCTTGGGCGCCAGGCCTGCTCTGAGAGAGCTACACAAGCACCTGGCCTGTTTGCAGAAGGCATCAGTTGAGGACAAGGCTGCCAGAAATGGCAGAGAGTGGCAATGGGATTTTCATCCTGCAGACTCGCCACACAGGAATGGAGCAGCAGAGGCAGCTGTCAAGCTCATTAAAAGAGCTCTTAACAGTCTTGGCGGAACAACTGGCTGCTACACCTGGGGGGAGTTCCAGACCCTTCTCTACTCGGCAGCCAACTTGACTAATGAGCGACCCATCGACGCCAGGGCACAGGAGCAAGAGGACTCGGTGGAGTACTTGACCCCCAACTCCCTTATCCTGGGGCGCACCGGACAGGGAGGAGACATACACGGAATCGACATGGAAACCCGCTCTTGGCGCAGACTGAGGGCTGTCCAGGCTGGAGTCAACAGGTTCTGGACGAAATGGAGTGAACTGGCAGGACCAAACTTGTTCATACGACACAAGTGGCACCGAGCAGAGAGAAGTGTCAAGGTTGGAGATGTAGTCTGGATCGCGGACCAAAATGCTCTAAGAGGGCAGTTCCGGCTCGGCCGGGTTGCTACAACGTATCCAGACGACAAGGGGGTTGTCCGGGATGCGGCCATAACAACCTGCATGGGCCTTCTTGCTCCCATGGTTCCCAGGGCCCGGAGCAAGCCCACGACCATCCTCATTCGCAGGGATGTTCAGAGGTTGGTAATCATTTCACCCAGTCCATCATCAGGAGCACACAGCCCGTTGGTATGTAACTGCTAACTACTCACGCAGCCTACTAGTAACAATGTTTAAGTTACTTATATGTTTGAGCACTGAACATTTACCTCACTGTGTCGGTGTTAACAGACAATAACAGTGAAAGTTAATGGAGTGATTCCTATTAATTTTGCCTAAAGGCATATATAAAGTAAATAGTATTGGTCCAAGTACAGAACCTTGTGGAACTCAATGACTAACTGTAGTATTTATTGAAGATTCATTGTTAACATGTACAAACTGATAATGATCTGATAAGTATGACTTAAACCAGCTTAGTGCGGTTCCTTTAATGCCAATTTGATGCTCAAGTCTCTGTAAAAGAATATTATGGTCAATGGTGTCAAATGCAGCACTAAGATCTAATAATACAAGTACAGAGACAAGTCCATTGTCAGAAGCAGTCAGAAGGTCATTATTAACTTTAACCAGAGCTGTCTCAGTGCTGTGATGAACTCTAAATCCTGACTGAAAATCCTCAAATAAACTGTTGTTATGTAGAAAGTCACACAACTCTTTGGCGACTACTTTCTCCAGAATCTTAGAGAGGAAGGGGAGGTTAGAAATAGGTCTATAGTTGGCTAAAACCCCTGGGTCAAGAGTGGACTTTTTAAGAAGGGATTTAATTACAGCTACTTTAAAGGACTGTGGTACATATCCTGATAATAAAGAAAGATTAATCATATCCAGTAAAGAAGTGCCAATTAAGGGTACGACTTCTTTAAGCAGCCTAGTTGGGATCGGGTCTAACAGACAGGTTGATGGCTTCGATGAAGAAATTATTGAAGTTAACTGATGAAGATCGATAGTAGAAAAAGTCTAAATATATATCTGAGTTTTTATAAGTTAAAGTTCCTGAACTTGGAGAACCACTGATAGCTGTTGATGGCAGCATAGTGTTGTGCTGTGCGTGTGACGCTGTCTGTTTGGACCCTGCGGTGAATCTGTTAACAGAAGCTCTGTGGTCGTCCAGTTTCCTGTTTCTGATGAAAACAACTCAGCTGAACGTTGATCTGCTCATGTTTCACTGCAGGACTGTTCATTTAAATAAAGACATCATGTCAATAAATAACTGCAGATTTACACGTGTCTGTACATTCTGCTCACATTAACTGTTAATGTGTTTGACTGAAACATTATTATTGATCTGTTTATTTAATGGAAACAGTGAAATAATCTTATTCTTTTCCATGTTGTTCACATTTTGTGGAAACATTTTACATTCTCCGTATCTTATTATTTACATCAAAATGTTGACCCACATTTGGATTTCACTTTTAAATACATTTATGATTTTATAGTTTGTGTGACATTGTGACAAACTAAGAACTTGACGTGTTAACAGCTCTCTTCCACTTGTGTTTGGTCTCTTTTTAACTTTCACAGAAAACTTTCAAAATGCAAATTATCTTTTAGTTTTTAACACTTCTGTCTTCAGCTGAATCCTGATATTTACTGCTATAACTAATTAATATTTAATTATGTCCTCCTATAATAGTAAACAAAGTATCAGTGTGTTGTACTTTATATAATGACTACTGCAGTAGTAGCAGTAGCTATACTATCAGTACAGTATCAGCTGTACTACCTGCAGTAATATAATGTGTATGTTGTTTTGCAGAGAGTGATCCAGCTGCAGTTTACTCCGCAGTGAGAGGAGCAGAAGACGTCAGTTATGGACAAATAGTCATCAAAGACATCAAATCAAACCGGTTGAGAGGTACAGCTGCACTTCTTCTTTGTCTCTATCATAAAGCAACACTAGAAATATGTCAAGATGAAAAGAGAACCATCAGAGTTATTTTGTGCTTGTCAATGGTGAGAATGTGTAACATCTTTCTCAAGATCTACTCTACTGTGTTTGTGGTACCTACTGTTTGATTCTCTGTAGTGATCATGAACGCAACTTCAGGTGTGAAAATGGAGTTGAGCAACGTTACAGCTATAAACAGATATCTGAATGCGTCTGAAGGTAGATAAATTAAACAGAAATTAGAAACACTTCTGATAACAAAATCTTGTCCCTTTCCTGCATTTGCATTTTGCATTTTTATTTCTATTCTTTGTTTATAGAGATTAGAAAGGACAGCTACTGGAGTCCAACATCATATTTCAGTGGTTGTATAATTGTAATTATCTAAAACAGCTGCACACTGTAGTTTTTATCAAACAAACAAGAGGAAAGAGTGCATTTGTTTGGGACTATTTCCAGCGGTGGATGAATCCACATTTGGTGCTGTAGTGAGTATAATGAACTACAGTGTGTTCAAGGTAATGAAGGAACATTGATGAGTTTTAAAGAGTTTTTGGAATAATGGAGCTCTATGGCACAGAGGAAGAAGATATATCAGACTGTGATACACACATAGTACTTGTTAGTGGATAACCAGTGTTGGTTGGAGAGTTAGACTTTTTAGAAGACATAAAGGTTTAAGAATAGGTTCTTCATCAAAGTAAGATTTAAAGCAGTGTATATAAGAGGAGACAGACACTTTACTTCAAACTGAGCTTTAATATAATTAATAGTTTAGTTGTTTTTCACTCTGAATATCAAACAGCAGCAGCTTCCTGTTGTTGTTTCCATTGGACTGAACTCTGACACTGGTGAGGTTTCTCACTATATTCTGGTCTGCTGTATCTGATGGTGATGTGTTTGTCTGTTTGTGCCTTGTGGTCAATGTGGCAACTACCTTTAATAGAAGAGAGCAGCGCTGTGGTCGTCCAGTTTCCATTCAAATGTGTTCTTTCATTTTTCACAGGAGTGGTGTTCAGAAGAAAAACAGCCTGTAAAAACCTTCTGCCATTTATTGTTCATGATTTAAGTATTAAGTCGATAATAGATTTTAATAACAGCAGTAGTATTAATATCCTTCTTCATATTACATGTGTTGCTGTACTTGTGGCAGCACTGTGTTGGTGCAATCTCTATCATAAAACAACACTAGAAATATGTCAGAGATAAAAAGAGAACCATCAGAGTTATTTTGTGTTTGTCAATGGTGAGAATGTGTAACATCTTTCTCAAGATGTAATCTACTGTGTTTGTGGTACCTACTGTTTGATTCTCTGTAGTGATCATGAGCGCAACTTCAGGTGTGAAAATAGAATTGAGCAACATTACAGCTATAAACAGATATCTGCTTCTGAATGTAGATAAATTAAACAGAAACTACAAACACTTCTGATTCCAAAATCTTGTCCCTTTCCTGCAGATTCTGCATTTCTGTTTCTATTCTTTCTTTATAGAGATTAGACGGACAGCTACTGGAGTCCAACATTATATTTCAGTGGTTGTATAATTGTAATTATCTAAAACAGCTGCACACTGTAGTTTTTATCAAACAAACAGGAGGAAATAGTGCATTTGTTTGGGACTATTTCCAGCGGTGGATGAATCCACATTTGGTGCTGTAGTGAGTATTTGTGGCAGCAGGACGGTGTATAAATGTACTACAGTGTGGTCAAGGTAATGAAGGAACATTGAAGAGTTTTTAAGAGTTTTTGGAACAATGGAGCTCTATGGCACAGAGGAAGAAGATATATCAGACTGTGATACACACACAGTACTTGTTAGTGGATAACCAGTGTTGGTTTGAGAGTTATACTTTAAGAAGACATAAAGGTTTAAGAAGAGGTTCTTCATCAACATAAGATTTAAAGCAGTGTATATAAGAGGAGACAGACACTTTACTTCAAACTGAGCTTTAATATAATTAATAGTTTAGTTGTTTTTCACTCTGAATATCAAACAGCAGCAGCTTCCTGTTTCCATTGGATTGAACTCTGACTTGGTGAGGTTTCTCACTATATTCTGGTCTGCTGTATCTGATGGTGATGTGTTTGTCTGTTTGTGCCTTGTGGTCAATGTGGCAACTACTTACAATAGAAGTGAGCAGCGCTGTGGTTGTCCAGTTTCCATTCAAATGTGTTCTTTCATTTTTCACAGGAGTGGTGTTCAGAAGAAAAACAGCCTGTAAAAACCTGCTGCCCTTTATAGTCTATGATTTAAGTATTAAGTCGATAATAGATTTTAATAACAGCAGTAGTATTAATATCCTTCTTCATATTACATGTGTTGCTGTACTAGTGGCACCACTGTGATAGTGCAATCAATTAAAATACCAAATGATCAAAATGAATTATGATCAAATATAATAAATAATAACTTTAATCAATATTAAAATTAGGGCTGTCAAAGCTAACGCGAGATGATTAATTTCTGGAATTAATGGTGATCATTTTTTTAACGCATTCCCGCCCTGTATAGATGGGCTCAGATTCAGAGTCAGATGAAGAGGTGCAACCTGACAGACACATACACAGGTACAGAGCAGAGCCAAGCATAAGTATGGAGGACTGCCCCATGCAGTGGTGGGCTGCTCATTCAGGAGCACATGACAAGCTGGCCCTGCTTGCCCGCAAATATCTAGCAACTCCTGCATCCACGGTTCCATGCAAACGACTCTTCTCAGTCACAGGCCAAATTGTTCAGAGGAAACAGTCCGCTTTACATTCAGAAAATGTTAACCAGTTAGTTTGCCTTAGCAACTGGCTAAAAGATGAATAAATAAAAGGTAAAAGGGCCTCATGTAATTGTGTGAAAGTGGAGTTGTTTGTTCAAAAAGAAAAACGTTCCATCCACCTATCCTGTATTTGCTTAAAAAAAAGAGCAATGGCTAAGTTGCCAAAATTGTTTAGAATTAAATTATTTTTTTGGATTTGTCATTAAAATTATTATTTAAATATTTGTATTGGGTTTTGAATTGTAAACACTTATAAAACAATTAACAAGTCTCCAAACAGCAACCCCAACATATACAATAGTAAAATGACAATAATGACACGAAAAAACGTACATTAAGGAGAAAAAACAAAAAACAAAACTGACATGTTACAGAGTTACAGTGCCTATGAATTAATTATGTCCCAGTGTTTCCAGCAGGAAATTGTAAGTTAAAATAATTCAAAAATGGCTGTCAGACCATATAAAATCTCTGGGTTGAACCCCTGATCATGTGTTTCAACTTATCAAGTTTCAAGTGTGCCATTACATCCTCAACCCAGTGCCTGTGTGTGGGAGGCATATCTGACTTCCAATTACACAAAATAAGATGTCTGGCCAATAGAGATGAAAATGCAATGGCATCTGATTGTGCACCAAATATAGCCATCCCAGCAGGGGTCACACCAAATATTGCAATTTCAGGAGCAGGGCTTATCTCTCTGTCACAGATGTAAGAAAAAGTATCAAAAATTAAAGACCAAAACTGTATCAACTTTGGGCAAGCCCAGAACATATGATAGAGGGTAGCCGGAGCCTGACAGCATCGGGAGCAAGTCGGAACGACATCTGGATATATCCTGGCAAGCCTACTCCTAGATAGATGAAGCCTGTGTAGCACCTTAAACTGAAGCAAACCATGTCTGATACAAATCGAAGTTGAATGTATTCTCTTAATTGCGCTTTGCCAGGAGACGTCCGACATTTCAAATCCTAGTTCCCCCTCCCACCCTGCCCTAATATGACTAAGTGACGGCGAAGCGATCATCTGGATATCCTCATAAAATCTGCTCACTCCTCTTTGATTTAGATCCCCCTCCAACCACTCATCTATCCAGTCATTTGGCGAGAGTAACGGAAAGGAAGGAAAATGTTTCTGAACAAAGACACGCACCTGCTGATACCTGAAATAATGCAAACTGGGGATATTATACTCATTTACCAGCTGCTCGAATGACATGAACACACCATCCTTACAAAGATCCTTCACCCTTTTCAGACAATTCCTGAACCATAACTTAAATGCTGTATCCATGAGTGAGGGTGGAAAGAGTGCATTGGCCGAGATTTGGAGAGAGGGCATAGCCTGTCTATGTTTGAAGTGGGTCCTGAATTGGGACCATATTCGAAGTGAGCCACTCACAATAAGATTATTTGTGAGGCGCTCCTTACTGAGTGGCAATGGCGCACATACTAAAGAAGGTAGGGACACCGGATGAGTGGAATGTTGTTCCATTTCAACCCATACAGGTCCACCCCCTCATAAGACGCAGAGACCCAGTATATTAGTTTATAAATATTAGCTGCCCAGTAATATTGTAAAAAATTTGGTAGTGCTAAGCCTCCCGCCTCTTTCTGTTTCTCAAGATGTGCCCTCCTTATTCGTGGGATGGTCTTATTCCATATAAAGGTAGATATAGATTTATCTAGCTCTCTGAAAAAAAACTTTTGGATTATATGAAACAAGAATAAGAACCTGGGCATAATTATCATCTTGACAGAATTAACCCTGCCAGCAAGCGATATAGGCAGTGCTGACCAAACGGATAAGGTCCTGTTTGGCCCTTTCCAGGGCTGGTTTAAAGTTATGCTTGAATAAATCACGGTATTTACTGGTTACTGAAGCACCAAGATAGGTAAAAGTGTCATGAGTTTCTTTTAGTTGACATGCCTCAAAAGACATCTGTCAAGCCTGGTCATTAATAGGGAAGAGCAAACTCTTTGTAAGGTTGATTCTCTAGCCTGAAATCTCTCCAAAGCTAGAGATAATTTCTAATGCCTTAGGAATAGAGGTGCAAGGATCAGACAGGTAAAGTACCAGGTCATCCGCATATAGAGACAGTTTGTGAGTTTGACCCCCCCTAACAACACCCATGAGCTCCTCGGCACTCCTAAGTGCAACCGCTAGTGGTTCAATGGCGAGGTCGAACAGAAGTGGG